GGGAAAAAACTTCATGACATGGGGTTTGGCAATATTTCTTGGATATGACATCAAAAGTTCAAGTAACAAAAGCAAAAAACAAATAGGACTAGACCCCCATTAAAAAATTTTTTATGCATATAAGGACATAATAAAATGTTAAAAAGAACCTACAGGAGAAATTACTTGCACATCATACATCCAGTAAGAAGTTAATATCCAGAATAAAGAACTAAAGGATTCCTGTGACTCCACAACAAAAATAACAGTTAAAAAGTGGGGAAAGGAGTTCGAGAGTGGGCACACCAGTAATGGAACTGAACCCACACAGGAAAGGTCCTGGGTCCATATCCCAGAATGGGTCCATATCCCATTCTCCTGTCATTAGAGAAATGCAAATCAAAAACTGCAACGAGATAGCATCTCACACCCAGTAAGATAAGTGCTATAAAAACAAGGGGCCAGCAGATAACATGGTGAAGGCAGTGATTTCCACATGACCACTGTGGATCAAGTCCTGGACCCAGAAGCTTGAGATACATGCCAGGTACATTTGCATATGTGCCCAAAATGCCAAGAGAATAGAGAAGGGATTGTGGCATGGCTATCCCCTGGGAGCATGGGGGGGTGATTTTTCGCTTTCCCTCTTTCTTGGGCAAGTACATGCGGCCTATGGAAAAAATAAAAATAAAAACAAACACAGCCCAGTTATAGAGAGAAGGCAGTGGGGCCACATGAGAGGTCTGAGTTTGTTTCCTGAACCAACCTTAACAGGCTGGAGACAGTGGCATCCACCTGTAATCCTGGCTAACAGGGAGGCAGGATTGTAGCACGGTGAGATCCAGTAAAAAATGTATCTCTCCTTCCCTTTCTCATAAAAAAATAAAAACAAGCACTGCTGAGGACATGATGAAATTAGAACCTATGGGGAATGTAAAATGGTACAATGGCTATGAAAAACAGTATGAAGGGTCCTCAAAATAATAAAAATAGAAACACAGTATGATCCAGCAATCTCTCCTGGATATAACCAGAACTCAAAGGAGGATATCAAAGACATTTTCACACCTGTGTATTGTAGCATTAATCACAACAGCAAGGAGATGGAAGCCTTTAAATGTACAAGTGAATGGATAAAAATGTGATCTATATACACATATACTTGCCTCACAGTATGGTACAACATAGATGAACCTTGAGGACAACATGCGACGTAAGTCACACAAAGACATGTATGTGGTTCATATGTGGTATCTAAAGTAGTCAAATACTGTGTGATTCTGTTCACATGCAGTATCTAAAGTAACCAAACTCAGAAAAATAATGACTGCAAGGGGCTGGAGGTGGGGGTAATTGGCAAGTTAGCATTTAACGAATAGCAGACACATGGGAGATCTGCTGCACAGCAACATGAGTACATTCAACACCACTGAACTGCTGAGTCTCCAAAGACAAATGGAGAGCAAGGCTAAAATAATGAGATATTTTTGTCCATCAGATGGAAGTTATTGTACTCCCAATATTGGTAGGAATATAAATGGCATAGTCAGGACGTCTATGTGCAAGTATTTCCTTACTACCCTAGGAAAACATTTATTCATTTACACATAGTACATGCTTAATGTTCTTCGATATATGATTCTTCTTATATCATTCACTACATACATGTATCTACAATTAAACCAAAATTCAAAAATTCAACTTCCAAGAATATATCCTATATAGTTGTAAAAGCAAGCAAAGACAATATTAAAAGCCTATTTATTGAAAACAGTGCATATAAAAGCCAAAAACCTAGAAATATCTAAAGTCCATTGAGAGAACTGGTTAAATAAACTATGGCACATCACATAATGTATTGACAGACTCCATTAAAAAAAAAAAAAGGTAGAATTTTTGTGTGTTCATATAAAAACATTTCCCAAATACATAATAAAATGATTTACAGAATGTGCTTAGTATTGTCTCAACTCATTCCAATCAGAAAGTTGACAGACTTACTGTCTGAAAACGTATAGGATTCAGTTCTCTGGTTCTAAAATTATAAAAAAAAAGTGCTATTCTTAGGATGAAGGAAAGATTCCTCTCATTTCTCTTACTAAGGTAAAACTTTGGTTCTGCCAAGTTCTCTAGCGAAGTCACATCTCACATCTGCTCATTCTTTTTTTTTTTCAAGAATAGTTAGAAAGACCATTCCCCCAGGATTAAAATACTTTTCAGTGTCCTTGTAGGCACTTTAATCCAATACTATCAGCCACACAGTACAGAACATCCTAGGGGAATGAAGGACACTATACAAGAAACTCACTCTCTTAGCAAGCTAGCCTTAGTTGGAAGATTTCTCCCAAACAACACCTATATATGTATTTGTGATACAGAATACTAGTATCTTCACTTGGGACATAAGAACTTTGACTCAAAAGAAATTTGATCAAGCCAACACATACAAGTAACTAAGTCTGGAGTGCTGTCTGCCTGCACAGCCAGCTATTAATACATATCCTACCCTCTCACCTGTTCATTTTACATCCAGAGCATGCACATAGCACTCTAGGGACATCAGGTGAAGAAATCAGATCCAGCAATGAACAGCCATGATGGTTTGTTGCCTTGGTGATCGCTAGTTCACATTTCTAAAAACAGAAGCAGCACACTGGGAGTTCAGAGTGAGGTAAGGACTGGAGATTACTCCCACCCTCAACCTTCTAACTCTCCATCTATACAAGATGGCCTTAACTTTCATGGAACTGTCGGTTCCTCATTACCACTACTTAATCTATCCTGTTTCCAATATGCAAAGGTACTACAGATCCATTTAAATGCTTGAGGAATTGAATAGCAGGTTCCTGATGTTGCATTATATTCAGCTATTGGATTGTTGGAAAAGTCACAATGTATTTAATACTATGCAAAAATACATCATAACTTTTCAGAGGACCTAATATAGGGTTTAATATAAAAATTCCTTCACCATTTGCGAAAAAATACAATAGCTAAAATCTACAATTGTATAAAAGCCATGAAGGTATTTTTAAAAAGTAATCTTATTTATTATCTTCAATTTGACCAGTGTCAGAAGAGTGAGGTTAAGAAAGCAAGTCACCAACTCCAGGACTTGAACCAGTCAGGCAAGTGGTAATCTAGCACCTTAATTACCATGTCGCCTGCCAGCCCCAAATCAAATACCTCATTTATTGAGGTAGATTTTTCATGGTTATCTGTTTTGGTTTTAATTG